CGGAAAAGAGCGTCTACACTGGCCCCGATCCTCCGGAAAAAGTGCCCTTTGAAGTAGGAATAAGACCCTCCGGAAAAGGGCCAGTGTAGACGCTCTTTTCCGGCTTTTTTAAAAGCCGGAAAAAAGCGGCGGACATTTTTATTTAAATGCCGCGGGGGATATTTAAATCCCCCGCGGATTTCCCTACGACGACTGGTGAAATTTACATGCCCCTTCCGGAAAAGGGGCCAGTGTAGACGTAGCCCTGGTGGTGAGGCCAGCCCTGAGAGCCACCAGGCTCTTAATACATTTAGAAGGCAGAGGCACAGCTTCTGGGTCTGAGTTGGGAATCGGCTGAATCCCAGATCACGCTGGTCCCTGGATCCACCTCTGCCTCTCCCTCTCTTCCCCCTGAGATGGTTTTGGGGGAACCGGCTTTTAACCCAGCTCCCCCCAGTGTTGGCTCCTGCTTTCCCCCCTCCCACTGCCTCTTGCAGAGGGGAGGGACTAATCAAGTTACTACTCAGTTACCAGATAAAGCATATGCTCGTCGGATTGTCGACTAGTCACATCCCCAATACAGAGACCTAAATAGAAGTGAAATTTCCCTCCCCCTCCCGCCCCATACACACACCAGACTTGTGGATTGGAGGACAAGCTGTTAGTGGTACTGCTGCTGAATATCTCTTGTTACTGCATTATCTGAATACAACTGATGTTGCCCATGTTGTTCAGGGTATATGGTGCGCATGTGCATGCCCACCTGCAGTAGGATTGCTCTCACCCTGTTCTAGCTGTTTGAGACTTTGGATATTTTTATTCCCCCAGAGATCCGCTGTGCACAGTTGCAGTCGAATTTCATGTAAACTGGGTGACTTTCATTTTGTGGGCTACCCAAAGGAATGCAGACTCCTTTGAGGTGGTGTTTGTTTTACAGCCAACCACAGGGTAGGGCACTCCTTTATTGGGAGTGAGGCAGGGAATGCTTTGGGGGCAATTTAAGATAGTGAGTGGGCCGCACGAGTGGCCTTCCATCACAGTGGGCCTCAAAATTATCATAACCAAGACAGTCTGCTGGGATAGGGTAGTTTTACTAACTGCACGTGCGAACCTAGAATTAGCGGGGTGTGCGAATTGAATCGTAGCAGCACTTTGATTGGATGCAGAGGAAGCGCAAAGCTCTGACAACAATGTTGTGTGCAATCAGCATGCACATAACTTCATGTGCCCTTGCTTTATGTGTGTGTCACTTTTGTAACACTGTTAGGAAAAAAGCTGGACAAAAACCAGCAGAATCTGGCAGCCCTGCAAGTGGGTGACAATAAGCAAAATGGCTCATGGACCACAAACAGAACTCCAATGGGCCTCAGGTAGCCCACCACTGCTATAAGGTCTTTAAGCACCATGCAGATCATTCAGTATGGACACTGATGGTTTTTAGGCAACGTAGTAACATTTTAAATATATATGTTTAAATAGGGACTTGTCTTTTTTCTCTTGTTTTTAAACTAGTCATATTTTCATGTCTAATCTAAATGGTCTTTGTATATGCACAGTTTGTATGAGAATTTTAGTATAGTAGTGACATGTAAATACACATTCAGTTACATAGCTGAAAATCAAGCCCTTGTGCTGCCATTCCCCAGTACATAAAATGGGTGTAATAAGAGTCAAGAGACGATGTGAGCATGAGTCAGTAATGTATATACAGCATTTAGAACAAATAAAGTATCTAGTATTGTGATTGTCTATATAGTGTTTTATCGTTCACAATTCTGATTTCACTTTTTTTAAAGTTACTTAGGAAGGTGTCTTGCATCTAACTAGGTCTGTCTAATATGCAGCATTCTTAAATACTTAAAAGATAAGTGTTCATGTATTTCTTTGGAGAAATAATTTTAATTTTACTTTGTTTCAGTAGAGTGAAGTTGGCATTTAGATAAGTAATCAAAGATGGCGTCCTACTTAGCTCAAGAAGTTCAGCTTGCTAGAAGACATGATGAGATGTAAGTACCTGTTTCAGGATTGTGGCTTGTGTTGTAGCAACTTATGCTATGATCTTCCCAAATCTCTCAAACTACAAAGAACTGGCTGGTTGAGATAGTCTGTGGAGGTCTCCCCTACACTATTTAAATCCTGTAACAAGAGGTTGGTATTTTGATAAGGGACACTCTTCCTTTAAAAACTGTTGAGTCAGACAATAGGCTTCCAAGACTGTTGTCTTCCAGATGAGATGCACAATTGAGGACCTGAGATTTAACCTCAATATATCATCTAAATTCCAATTCAAGTAGCTTGGGTTCTGCTGCCATTCAAAACTCAAATTGTGGTTTCAATTCAATATAGTATTTTCTTCACATTGACTTCTAAAATATCAGTTTATCTTCACTGTAAACTCAGCTTTTAAAATGAATATCTTATTAAAATGAGTCAGAAAAGTTTGTCTACACTCTGACAAACTAGTCAGGAAAAGTAATCCACCCTCTTATTAGATTTGTTAAGAGTTAAGCTCTCAGGGTATGAGAACTATGACAGAAAATATTGTTTGGGAAAGTACATGTTTTTATGTATATAAAGACTACAGTAATATAATTAACATATATTTACAAGTTGATTGTAAAATTCTGACCTCTGTTACCTGCCTTTTCATAAACACTTGGCATGAAAGAATGTGTGGTGTTTGGTTAGCTCCATTATATTCATCTTCCAGTTCTCACTGGATAGTATACCTAGCAAATTAGTTAATTCTTTATGGCTGTGTCTACATTGGCACCCCTTTCCGGAAAAGGGATGCTAATGTAGACTTCGGAATAGCAAAATCCGCGGGGGATTTAAATATCCCCCGCGGCATTTGCATTTACATGGCTGCCGCTTTTTTCCGGCTTGGGGATAAGCCGGAGAAAAGTGCCAATCTAGACGTGATTCTCTGGAAAATAAGCCCTTTTCCGGAGGATCTAATGCCGCGGGGGATATTTAAATCCCCCGCGGATTTTGCTATTCCGAAGTCTACATTAGCATCCCTTTTCCGGAAAGGGGTGCCAATGTAGACACAGCCTACTAGTATAGCAGAGGATTGTTGCTGCAGACTGGGAAAGCTGACAAAGAATAATTATTCTGAAATTCGTGGGTCATATTTATATCTAGTGTAAGTAAATACAGCTACATTGAGTGAATTCAATGTAGAATGGTGGGGTAGTCTGCAGTACAAACAAAAATGTTTGATCATATGCATATGATACCACTTCCATCATTTAGTTATGTATGTGACTATAGTCTTATCTAGATTAGCACTTGTAAGCAGGGTTGAATTTTATGTTTAAAATGAGACACTTGAGAATCTAAGGCCCACATAAGAATGGCTCCCAAGTACCACCTGAGTGGAGGGGGCTGGAGGAAATATGACTGCATAGGGCAAGAGGTATAGTTGTCTCTGGAGATGCTGCAGGGAGTTCTTTGACTCTTGCTACATTTCTTTCAGAAAATATATTACTCATTCTTCTCCCAGTGTTGGCTTCTGAGCACTTTCAGAAGTGTTGCCATGCCTGTACTACCTCAGCCCATCCTGGCATACCTAATCGGAGATATTCAGTGCTTGTGTGCCCCCTTCCTATTTGAGGATTGCTGATTGCAGCATTATGACTGTCTCACTGCATAGGAGCACAGCGGGAAGGGTCTCCCAGTACTTTCTCCTTCCCGCAGCACACCCACACTGAAACAGGCATAATTAGGCCCATAATTTCAAAAGAATTGGCTAAGGTAAAAGGTTATTCTAGCTACTGTGCAAAATGTTCTGCCCACTTATTAAAATATTTTCCTTTGTAGACTGTCTCAGAGATCAGTATTGCTACAGCAGATGGAGACTCATCTAGGGGACAAAAAGACTGAAAAGACATTGCAAATGCTAGCAGCTGATGCAGCTTATAAAAGAAATACAGCACTTTTAAATGTAAGTTTCTGGGACTGTCAAGTGGCATGCCGAAATGTAGTGTTACAGAGATTACGTTTGTGTCTTGGTTTTTCAGGTGAAATTTGAAATATTAGGGTTCTGATTCTGGAATGTGTGCAAAATGTACTAAAGAAGTCTTTATAACCTAGGACATCACTAACTAGTCCTCACACCCTTCTCGTGAGAGCCTGGTGGGGTCCATAGTAGAGTTTCCAGAATCTGGGCTCAAGCCTGAGGCCAAACATCTATATTGCAGTTTTATAGTCTTGCAACCAGAGTCCTGTGAGACCAAGGCAGCTGATATAATGTTTTATTGCTGTGTAGACCTATCCCAAGCAAACTTCTAAATGTCTGATTACTGAGTCTTTCATTGCAGACAGACAGACAGTTCTAAGATCAAACCAAACCCCATTTGAAACTAGAACAGTCTTTTTTTTCCCTGCTACCTTTGTTCTATGTCCATTCAGGGAATTTGTTCATCAAATCCACATTTTTCCAAATAATCATTAAACACCATTGCTTAGATTCAGTCTCAAGGCTGGAGTTAAAATTTGATTGATAGACTGGCACCAACTCTGTGGGTGCTCCAGGGCTGGAACACCAGTGGAAAAAAATAGTGGGTGCTCAGTGCCCCTTT